CGCTGGGTGCGGGGGGGGTTTGTTCTGGTTCCTGCCTGTGTAGTGGGGGGGGGGTGGATGCCGTTAACGAACCTGCAGTTGATTTTGAGGATGCACGTGTGAGTCGTGGGGATGGCTTCGATATGGGACGCCGTGCACGTGGGTTGGGTTGTCGTTTCGTGCGTTGTCGCATCACTGAAGGCGCTTGTGAGCTGCTCGGATGTTTCGACAGAGTTCGAAGTTTACGCTTGGCATGGCAAATGTCTGATTTCTTTCGTTTTTCGTTTCGATTTGTCGTGTGCATGACGCAGAAGCGAGTTTGTGTGGGACCACGCGGGTCTGCTTTCCACGGTCCACTTTCGGTTTCTATTCTCTTAGGTTTGTTCTGTGTTTTGAATGAATAATTGTCCTTACACATGCGCATTGTACGTGTTTTATTTTCAACAGGTAATTCTATTCAGTTTCTTAGACTGTTACTATTTATGTATTTGAGTGTCGGCTCACTCCTAGTCATCATAATCATTGTCTCAGTGCTGTGTGCGTTATTAGAGGTGATAAATGTTTTAGCGATTTTTCATAGACTTTTTGAAAGCTATTTAATTTTGTATGCCTTATAGTCAGATTTTCTAGTCTCTGCTATAACATTGGATTTCAGTAGTAGTAGTATTTGTTGTTGTAGTTGTTGTGTCTTGAAAGGTAATTGGTTTGCTTTAATTTGTAGTAAATATCTCTCAGAGACCACCTCAACGACGAACCTACCAGGAAGGTACTTGCGATAATTCCGCTGGTTAAACCAGGTTGTAAGAGCTTGCCCTTCTCCTGCTTCGGTTTCAACCAATGGCTCGTTCGGACGTGTGCTTGGACACGCGTCTTTGTCACAGCTAACGCTCTGCCACGCCTTGATCGAAGCATTTTCTAAACCACGCCTGCTTAGGCACACCGCTGTTTGCTGCTTGCTTTCGTTCTTTATCTGGCACATCCGCATAATTTTCTGCAGGGGAATAACGTCCTATAGCAGATGTACGTGCAAAAATTTACGCTGTTATTCGTATATATTGCAAAGTTTACATCGAATCTATGCATCGTATTTGTGATGTTATCTGTCGACGTGTTAGTTTTTTTGTGAGGGAAGAAAATATTTTTGTTGGGCATGTGCAGTGACTCGTTCCGTACGTGGTTATTGTACCGCAAGACATTGTGTTGTTGCTGTTTTGGTTTTGTCTGGCTGATTTTCAGTTGCCTTGCTGTGAGTTGCAGGTGTTTCGTTTCCATATGCTTACAATATTATTGAACGCAGTAGGTAGAGATTCTAACACCATGCAGATACTCTTGAAAACGTGTGTTTTTCACTTGAGAATAGCGTGTTGCCTCCAGGAATTGTTATAACGCCTAGCATGGGTGTGTGGTCCATCCTGTACCCCTCGACGAACGAGACTTGATCTGTGATATGCAGTTTGAAGTTGGGTTTTTTGTGTCATTCCTAACTGGAAGCGTTACGTCTCGGCTTCCCCGCGCGTGCGTGCCGTGTCGTTCCGTTGTCGTCTGCCGGCGTTTCTCTCTCGTGCGTGTCTCGTGCGTGTGTCTGCCGTGCGTCGCCGTGTCGTCTGCCGTCTCGCTGTCGTCGTCGTCATTGCCGCGCAGGGATCCGGCTGCTGGGACGGAGGTCACTGCCCAAGGTCATGCCGGGGGACTTTGTGGGTGAGCCTGTCGCAGTGTGGGTCGCCGGCAGCGACTAGGCAGCGAAAACTGCGAGTGCAATGCTCTGTTGCTTTCAGCAGCACGGGAGAGGATGAGAGCTGACAGTGCACCCGCCCCTCCTCTGCCACCGCCTCCACAGCATGTGGCTAGCAGGCCTAAGCAAGGTTAGACGTTACCGTAGCGAATGCATCGTGATGCGCTCTGGTCGTCGTGCAGCCATCTTGATAATCACGCGTTTTTTTCTTATAGAAAATTCTCGTGCTCAACGTACGGTACGAGTGTGTGATATATGGCGTTCATTGAGCAAACATTTTAATAGTCACATCGTGGTATTCGATTATTCGGTATATCTGGATTCATTACTTAATTACTACGAGAGGCTACTGGAATATACCTATGCATGTATTTTATTTTCTTGTCTGCATGCTGGAAATCCAAGTCTGTTGAAAGAATTGCAACGAGTAACCTTCGCTTAGCGTATCGATGTGATATTGTCGTATGCGCCCATTCGCCGCAAGTGATTTCTGTGTGCATGTAATGTTGAACTGACAAGATTCTCTGCATGACGACGTGGTGTTCACTATGATTGGCTCAGCCTGAAGGAGGGAAAGCTCGTGTCCTCCTAAGACATAAACATCACTGTGCTAATGCAAACTATGCAGTTCTCTACGAATCGAATACGCAGTGCCTTATTCTAGGTCGTATAAATTAAGTATCCATTAACGTCATTGACGTTGATTAGCGTGACGCGGTGATGGATGTTGGTTATGTTGCTGATGTCGTGGTAATTGCCGTCGTCGTCGTCGTCGTCGTTTAGTTGCCTGGTTTAACTACGAACGTGTGATTTATACTGTCTACCGTTCTTACGACCGTACCCATTAATATCATACTCGAGCGTTGTCCTTTTCAGTGTCTTTTTACGCTTCCCGAACACTAACCGTTTCATTAACAGGTAGACCGTAGTGACCTCGCGTGTGTACGCACGTGCCGCCGGGGTTTGTACCCGTGTCGTCGGTGGCGTCGTCATCGTCGTCGTCGCCACGTGTTCTGCAGATAACCTCGACCGCTGATCTGTGTGATGCGCTTTCGAAACGCCGCCGTTTTTTGTGCGAGAGCGAACATGAGTCATCGCTGAGCGTGTGTCGATCCCTGTTGGTGTCGCTGGCTGCTGCCGCTCGTGTTTAGCCGAAAAATGAACCGCGTTGGTTCCCGAGCTGCGCTCCCCCCCTCCGACGCTCGACTTTCATGAACAGACACATATCGATCGATGCATGTTGTACGCAGCGTGGCGCCACTGACGTTTTAACCCCTGCCGGTCGCCCGCCGCCGCCGCCGCCGCCGCCGCCGCCGCCTTAACCAAGCAATAATGTTTTTTACTTTGACGCACAGCGCCGCCGCGCGGCAGGAACGGGAGCAGGACGCCATCCCCCAACGACAAGCCTCCGCGCCACCCCTCGCCGTCGTCCAGCCCCTCCCCGAAGAGCTCTCCCCTCTTCCAGCATCGGCTGAAGCAGGCGAGGGAAGAATTCTTCCGAGCAAAGTCCGGCAATCCCGCCAGCGCCAACCCGACGACGTCTCCCCTTCCTCCCGCCGCCGCCCGTGACGACCCGAGGCCGCCGCCGCCGCCGCTGCCGCCGCCGCCGGCGACCGTGTCGCGAATAGCCGAGTTTACAAAGTCGCTCAGCGAATCGCCGCCGCCGCAGCGCCGCCGGCCGTACAGCCGCGAGGAGTTTGTGAGCGAGTTTTACGCGAGCATCGGACGCGGGTCGGGTTCCGAGGATGGTGGCGGCGACGGCGGCGCGGCGACGTCGCCCCCCGCGCCGCGCCGGTCCAGACGCGATTTTAGGTCGGACGACGACGATTGGTCGGCGTTCGAATCAGGTGTGGGCGAGTAAGATGGAACGCCACTGTGTGTGTGTGTGTGTGTGTGTGGCGAGCGTGCTTGCTGCCCTTTCCCGGCTTTTTCGCGGTGCCTTTTGCTGCATTGCCGAGAGAGCGAGAGGCGTTGTTATTGCTCTTTTTTGCGCTCTTCCCCTCTCTCGCTCTCTCGTCAGTTTCTCTTTTGCTTCGCTTGCGTTGTTGCGGAGAGTGAGAGCACTTGTGTCTGCTCTCTCACTCTAGCTCTCTCTCTCTCTCTCTTGTTATCTTTCTTCCCATCTCTTGCTCTCATGCCGGTTTCTCTTTTTGTCTTCCGTTTTCCCTCGCTATATTGATCTCTCCCCTTTTACTGTTGGAGTGGCTGCTGCGGTAGTTGTAATTCTGCATCAAAGGAACGACTGCTACAGAAAATTGAACTTGTGCAACAGAGCGATGTACCTTACTATGATTTAATTGAATGCTTCCTTCTTTTTGTTTGTATACCTCTTGTAGAATTTATGTTGAAAGTTTGCTTTGGAATTTAATCGTTGCAATTTAGTAAACTAAACGTTTAGTTTAATTGCATGTGTTTTGAAGGGGCATAAGAGGATCAAGATAATAAATCGGAGGGTACGTAACTCGACTCATTTTAAATTGTTTGGTTTAAAGTTTCATAATTAAATGTTACATTTTCGTCGATCACTTCTTTTACGCAGCGAAAGTTTTATAGTGCTCTTTTTAATCTGACCACCTTCGGATTCTATAATTCATTCAATTCGTTTACTACCGCTCGAATACCCGCTTTGGTCGTCACAGTGAAAATTCGTGAGTTTTCGTTTCTTGCTTCCCTTGTTTAATTTTGCTGTTCGATCTTCTTGCTCTGTAGCAGCAGTTCCTACGCGGCACCCGCATCATCAGCAGCAAGATGAGTCGGTAACCCGCGCTACTGGCCATTCGCACTTTGAATCGGCTTACACGAGACCCATTTCCAAATCGTCCCATCTCCAGCAGACAGGTAAAACGACGTGCGAAGGGCGGGGCGGCGACGACGACGATCGCGCCGCCTCTCGATGCACGCACGTTGCCCAATGATTGACAGCTAACCCCCCCTGGGGGCCTCCTCTCGCTGCGGCGGCGGTGTCGACGCTTTGCACGTGTGGCTTGTTGCGTCGAACCACCCCCCGTGCGAGGGGTAGCGCCCCGTCTCCCCCGCTCCCTCGATAGCCTTCTTACTCGTTCGGCATGTTCACCGCTCGCCGTTAGAATGCACGACCCGAGACCTCTTACCTCTCGCATCGTGACACCGACTCGCATGCTATAGCCAGTAGCAGCCGGGAGTAATAGCAATTGAGACTCATCCCAGCTTGTGTGTGCGTGCGTGCGTGCGTGCGTGCGTGCGTGCGTGCGGATACATGGCAGCGGTGATTTACGCTGTCCCTTTCGACGGCATGTCCGATCGGTATAACCACGCATCTTGGCCTGGTTTCGAAACCACAGCCACTCCATTAGCGACTTGTCGGAATGCTTTAGTGTGAGCAACTCACAACTTTGTTGTCATGCATCGTAATTCTCCCCAGCCCCCGTTCTCTCGGGTCTCGTGTCACAGTTTTTGTCGCCAAATCGCGTGTGGCCAAAATAACTCGCATGTGTGTCCCGTTGGCTGCATTCCCCATTACCTTCTAGGTGCGGCCCGTTGTCGGGTGCGTTCACTCACCTAGTCCCGGTTGCTGTGAATGTCTAACGTCTTCTGCTAGCTGGGTATTGACCGGAAGAACTTAACAGAATGTTGTTTCTGTGGCTTGCTCTTGTGTGGACTGACCTTTTGACCCTTTGATCTTTGTCTGACTGAGCGCTGCATTGTCCTAACTGTTATGGCGTGGCATGGATTGCGTAGTTTTCTGTCATCCATTGTTAGTTTTTGAACGATGAATATCCGGATGTTTTTTCGTGCTTCATTTTCTTGAAACCCAAACGTATTCCATTCTCATCTGTTTGGCGGTTATGATAAAAATGGAACTGCGTCGCAGGCGGCATTTTTACGACGAATAAACGCGCGACTCGTGTTGTAGATCACCGACGGATGGTATAAGCACGTTCTTCTTTTCTTCTCTCTTCTAGTTCAGAGCGAAAAGCACTCGGAAGCCACTTCTTCCCTTCACTCCGCCCGCTCTACCAATCCCGCTCCCACCACGCCCAAACGCTCAAGCGAGCCGAGGCCCAAGTCGGCCCTGCCCGCCGACGATTACATTGGCGAGATACTTTGGCCCGATGAACAGGTGTCGCCCTCTCTGCAGACGCAGCCGGTCAATGCCGGCCTGAGCCCGCGCCGCGACCACCCGGACGCGCACGCGGCGCCCCCTATGCATGCGCAACCGGCCAATCCCGGCCTCATCCCGCGCCGCGACCGCCCGGACGCGCACGCGGCGCCCCCTATGCACGCGCAGCCGGCAAATCCTGGCCTCAGCCCACGCCATGATCACCCACACGCGCAGCCGGCCAATCCCGGCCTCAGCCCGCGCTACGACCGCCCGGACGCGGCCACGTCGCCGACGACGTCGCGTTCGTCCTACCACACCGAGCTGAAGATCAAGATGAAGCCGGAGAGCCTCAGCGACACGGAGGCGACGAGCAGACGGCAGGCGAGCCACGCGCTCTGGCCGCCGCCGCAGCAGCAGCAGCAGCAGCGCACCGCATCGGCGGCAAGCCGGGCGACCACTGCGCGCGCCATCAGCGCGCGCCTGCGGTCGACTCCGACGACGACTCCCTGACGCAGCGCGATGTCGAAGGTCGCGCAGCTGCTCGACGCGGGCCTGCTGCGGCGCTGCCGCACGCTCGACGACGGTGTCGCGGCGGCGACGCGGCGTCGCCCGAGATCACGGTGCGCTACAAGCGCGAGAAGACGACGCGCAGCACGCGCACCGTACGCGACGGCGTCTCGTCGATAATCAGGAGCACGCCCATTGCCGCGCCGCCGCCGCGCGCGGAGCAGCCTGCGATCACGTACGAGGCCGCCGAAGAAGCCCGCGGCTCGCCGGCCGCACGCGCAGCCGAAGCAGGAGTGGTTGGCTGACGATCTCGTCGGACGCTGAGGACGCTCCGTCGATCCAGATCCTGTCGAGCCGCCGGTGGAGAAGTGGTGCCGCCGCGGAAAGAGAAGCCGGTTGAGAACCGCCGCCGGCCGTCGCCGGAGGATGAGAAGCCGACGATACGCCTCGTGCCGAAGCAGCAGAAGGAGCCGGAGAGAAAGAGGAAGCCGGAGCCTCCGCCGCCGCAGGCCCGTGGAGGAAGATGATCGTGCCGACGCGCG